TTGCAAACATAAGTCATGGCCTAAAAATATATATATATTTTAGGTCAACTCTAAGTCTAGATTCTCAAATGAGTTATGCTAGAATTACTGTAAAGGTAAAATAACAGATATAAAAAGGTTTTGAAAAGTTACGGGTGCTAGAGAAATATACTGAAGTTGAGTTATCTGTAAGAGTGAAGACAACTTATAAAAAAGACAACACGTGATCTGTATCCCTAGTTTTGTTTAACTCAATACAAATCATTGAAGCACTTCTGTCACACTTGCAAAAGAAATGGTTACACTGCAGTAAGGTTAACGTAAGTATGAATGCAGCTAGTGTCATGACAACACTGAATTTAGCGTGGCTACAATTCAGTTCAATGAGTTAAATACCTGCTATATAAGGCACCTCCATCCTACAAAATCACAGTTCCTGATCTCAAGAAGTTTGCATTCTAATGGAAGGAAGGAAACACCATGAACACAGATAAGTAAATATCAAATAAACACAAGTAAATATAAAGTAATTAGGAAGGATAAGAAGGAGGATTTAACAAGTAGAGGGACCAGGAAAGGCCTTCTGTGGGAAGTGGTATTTGAACCCAGCTTTAAAGACAATGAGGGATGCCAAGTAGCAAAGGTTAAGGAGGAAGGGAATGTTAAACATAGGCAACAGGCTGTTCCTTTTATTAAAGGCATCTATTCTGTGAAGTTTGGATTCAGTCAAAGGGCCATACTTGATGACCGAGAGGGCCACACGTGGCCTGGATGCTGCAGGTTCCCCACCCCTGGTCTGTGCAAAGGGATACAGGTAGAAAATGGAATATTATATAAAGGAAACATAACATCAGCCAGTTCAGTTAGAAGACAGAGTGTGAGGGAGTGATGTAAAATCAGTCTGGAACAGGAATTCTTAACCTTTTGTGTGCTATGGACTCCTTTGGCAGTTTGGTGAAACCTGTAGAATATTTTTAAACGTACAAAATAAAATACATACGATTACAAAAGAAAATTAAATAGTTACCAAAGTATGTATATATATAAAAAAACAACTTCATGGACCTCAAGATTAAGACTATCTGGTCTAGAAAGACAGGCTGGAACCAAACTGTGAAGGGCTTAAAATGCTGAACAGAGGAGATTGTCTTCTATCTTCGAAGTAACAGAGAAGCACTAAAGCTTGTGAACAGTACTGACCTAGTGAGAGCTGTACCTGAGAAATATCAATTTAGGGTGCAGCTAGGTGGCACAGTAGATATAGCACCGGCCCGGAAGTCAGGAGGACCTGAGTTCAAATCCAACCTCAGACCAAACACTTGACACTAGCTGTGTGACCCTGGGCAAGTCACTTGACCCCAACTGCCTTAAAAAAAAAAAAAAGAGAAGAGAAATATCAATTTAATAATTGGTTACAAGATGGACTGGAGAAGGAAGGGGCAAGGAGATTAATTAGGACAGTAGGGATCAAACGAGAGTCTGTATGTGTCAAGAAGGGATGGATGTGAAAGATATTCAAGTAGAATTAAATCTTGGCCACTGATTAGATGTGAGAAGAGTAGGGGTGAGAGGTTTTTCCATCTAGGAAGATTAAAACAATACAAAATGTAGTAAAAATTCTAAGAAAAGGATAGAATTAAGAATGTTACAGTTCACATTTTTTTAGTTTGAGCAGAACTCTTTGAAACATATTTGAAGTTCTCATCCAGGATTTCTAAGAAGCAAGTCAGTTCTTCCAGTTCTAATGTGCAATAGTATGGTAGACATTTGTCTACTTTTACTCAAGATTTATTATATATACTTCAGTGGACCAATAATGATCATTGTCAGTACTCTCCTTTTACAATGCATATCTTAGTCCTCCCATGTCTTCTCATCTTGTATGATTCTTGTCCAGATTCTGCCATAAATCCTTCAGAGACGGTCTATCCAAAATGCTAGAGACCTTCCAGCATTCCAGGAATAGTTAAGTATAGCACTTGAGCTGTTGATCTGTTATCCTTCACTCTATCCAGAATTCTTCCACAAAAGTCCAACTCTGATTTCTCTTTATGGCATGGAGGTTACCCTGAGCTCTTGAAGGCTATGCAAGTTGAGTACTATATCTGGTAGCTTTTACAAAGCTGAAAAGGCTTCTAGAATGGTCCTGGTGACAACCTATCTGTTAAGGACCAGCCCTGCTATGTATGGAGAAACTCATCACCAGTAGGTTGGCCAATAGGTGAAGAAATATTCAGCCACAATAACCCATTAAAACAAAGAAAAAATACAAAAAGGTCCTTAGTATTATATGTGGCTTTTCCACTTCATCAGTGATTAAGAAGGGATAGAGGGTGATAAATTTTAAGAAGACTGTCTAGAAATTTTAATTTGATTGTTTATATTCTAAATGGGATACTCTCATCCAATGGCCAAGGTATGGACAACCTAGAACTAAACTACAACAATACTGACATTCTTACCATAAAGGAAATCAGAAAACATAAATAACTTGTAGCAAAATGGAAGATGGCTCAAAAGTTCTTTTTTGTTTTTTCTTCAGTCATTTTTTTCAGTCATGTCCAACTGCTCGTGACCTCATTTGTGGTTTTCTTGGCAAAAATACCAGAGTGGTTTGCCATTTCCTTCTCCAATGTGTCCCCATTTTACAAATGAGGGACTGAGGCAAACAGAGGTTAAGTGACTTGCCTAGGGTCAAACAGCTAGTAAGTGTCTGAGGCTGGATTTAAACTCAGGGATGAGCCTTCCTGATTCCTAACCCAGTGCTTTATCCACTTGGACACCAAGTTGCCCCAAAAGTTCTTAGGGAGAGGCAAATAAAAGAGACATAGGATCACAGATGTAGAATTGAAAGGGACTTCAAAGGTCATCTAGTTCAATGACTTCAAGTTACAGATAAGGAGATAGAGATAAGATACAGGGGCAACTACGTGGTGCAGTGGATAGAGCACTGGGCCTGGAGTCAGGAAGATCTAAGCTTAAATCCACCCTCAGACACAGGCTGTGTGACCCTGGGCAAGCCATTCAACCCCTATTTGCCTCAGTTCCTCATCTGTAAAATAGGGATTCCCTGAAGAAGACAATGGCAAACCACTCTGGTATCTTTGTCAAGAAAGAGTTGGACACAAATGAACAAGAACAAGATAAGATACAGATAAGGAGGCTCAGAGAAGTTAAGTGCCTTACTAAAGGTCATGAAGATTGTTAAGTGTCCTAGGTGAGATTTGAACTTGGATCCTTTAAATCTAGAATAAAATGCTCTTTCCTTTGAACCAGAGTTGGATTCATTATTCGACCAAAGGCAACAACACACATTATTTCCTAGAATGTGTGGTCATCTTGCTTTGCAGTACTCATGATAAAGAACTGTGCATACCCTTTGATCCAGCATTACTCATGATGAAGAATAACTAAAAAGGACACCATGAAGATAACTGCATGAAGATAACTTTGTAACATAAGTCCTAAGATATGTCCTAATGTGTTACAAAAGATGAAGTGACGGAGAACTTTTACAAAGAACACAATAAGATCCTTCAAAGCATGTTAACACATACACTGATAATTTAAGGCAAAAGTAGGCACAGGGGAATAAAATGAAAAGCACATTGGAAAATGAGTTGCCATTAAGGATAAAAAGACTCAAACTACTTAGAAGCCTCATAGCTATATTTGTGACAACTTACTAAATGCAAGAGGCAGGTAGTTAGTTCAGTAGATAGAGTGTTAAGCTTGGAGTCAGGAAGACCTAAGTTCAAATCCAGCCTCAGAAACTTCCTATCTGTGTGACCTTGGGCAAGTCATTTAACCTCTGTTTGCCCCTTGAGAAAGAAATGGCAAACCACGAGTATCTTTGCTAAGAAAACTCCATGGACAGAGGGCTTCAGGATCACAAAGAGCATGACACAACTAAAACAACTGAACAACATTAAATGCAAAGAGTAAAAAAATGCTTTTTTGCTGGAGTTACCAATTAAAACTTCTAATTCATCCTCAAAATAGCAACAACCTATGCTTCCAAACAGGGAAATGATATAGCCAAATTATGGTACATTACACTGACAAACTACTAAATAACTATTAAAAAGGAAAACTATGTAGACTGTCTATATGTAGAAATGTATATGTAAAATAATTAAAAATGGAAAACAAGACCAACAACACTACAGGAGTATGTTTTATAACAGAAAAACATTGAACTAGTAATCCAGTGAACTAGATTTTAATGCTAGCGCTATCACTAATTAGTTATGTCACGTTGGGCAAACTACTTTACCCCTCTGAGCATCAGTTTCTTCAGCTCTAAAATGAGGGGATCTGACTAGATGATCTCAAAGGTTATTTTCAGTTCTATGATTTTTGTCATTGTGGCATTACACACAAATGTTAAACACATATTGTAACTATGTAAAAACATGGTGTGTAGAGTGATAGGAAGAGTGGAGGATTTCATGTTGAGAGAACTTGGGGTTTCAACTTCAGCTCTGCTTACTACATTCATGACACTGGGCAAATTACTTAAACGCTCTGGACCAGTTTCTTCATTTGTAAATGACAGGGCTGGACCAGATAAGACTTAGGTCTCTTCCATTCTAAATCTAAGATCCTAGGTAAATATGTTAACAAATATTTGAAAAAAATTTGAAGTGTTGTGAAGTCTACTAATCAGAGTTTGGGTTTTTTTTTTTGAGGGGGGTATAACATTGCTTCAGCTCATAATGAAAAAGCATATTTAAAATTTTCCTTCAATCATACAAATTAAAACATTTTTTGGAAACAAAAATGGACTCAAATATTGAAGGTCACATTTTTAAAGGGGCTTCAATTGATCAAGACCTGTAATTTTCTGAATGAAGAAATTAAATAGCTGAGGCATCTACAGAAAATCAGGAAGCTTAACTAGTTAATAACCTATTTCAGAAGTTGTGGACACAAAGAAAATGAAATTAGGCTAATGGTTTAAAGATTTGCAACTTGTAAACTATAAGTTTTCCACTTTGCAAGCTTCTAAAGACACTTACCTTTACTCTTCTTCGTTTCTTTTCCTTTTCTTCCCCTGGGACCTGCTTTTCTCCTTTCTTTCTCTTTTTTCTCTTTCTGTCTTTATGTTTCTCATGATCCGTTTTGTCATCAAAGAGGCTTGAATCATGTCCTGAGCTGCCTGTGGAGAGCTCTGTGACTTCGTTTCCTCCTACTTTCAGTACTAACTTCAAAGGTTTTTCCACATACTCTTAAAAAGAAAAAAAGGAATGAAACAAAATTAAAACTACAAGCCTTTAAAGAATTAAACCAGATGCATTAAAAATAGCATTTAGGGGCACTGCTGCCATTCTTCTAGGCAGCAGTTTGATAGAGTCTAAGGCTTATGCAGTTTGATACAAATATTAAGCTAATTTCTATATATACATCACAGGATACAGAGACCTGATTAAAATTATTTTATTAGTAACATACAAAATGATCACTGAATCAAGTGCATGGCAATGAAATGAACAAGTCTTTCTTAAACATAAGTCTTGAACTATTTACTAATCTCTTGGTTTGTCTTTGGGGAAAGGAAAAAATTCAGTACCAATTTACTACCACCAATAAAACCTGGCTATCGTTTTTGAGATTATTCTACTAAATTCACAAATATTCACTGAACTGCAATAGTTACAGTAGCATAATGAGAAAGGCAAAGGATTTAGAGCCAGAACACCCGGGCTACAGGCCTTGCTCTACTGGCTGTATGAACGTGGATGGGTACATCACTTGACTTCTCAAGGGCCTCAGTTTTCTCTTCTGTAAAACAGGGATAACCATGCTTCTAGGACCTGCCTTGCAGGATTGCAAAGTTATGAAACATTATAGGCACATGAGGTGTAATTATTAGGATTACCTCATCCAGTCCCAGTCCCAGTCCCAAGAAACCCAAATCCATGCTTCTAGTTTCGTGGGTTCCAAGTTCCCACCCGTTCTCCCTCCACTCGGTGCCACCTGGTCAGATCATCCCACCTCCCATCTCCTTCCCAAGGACTAATCTCCATCCTTTCTGATCTCAACTCCACTCAATTCAACGTTCATTAAGCAGCTTTTACCAGCGTGCTGGAGGTGGGGTGGGGGTGGCAGCTCGGGCTCTTCACACCCCGGGGGGGGGGAGCCCCCTGCCCGGCCCTAGCCTGCCCCCTCCCCGGGCCTGTCCGGTTAGACCCGCCGGCCCCAAGCTCTCCTCGGCCCCCGCCCTCGCTCTCACCCCAATCCATGTATACTCTCTTAGACAAGCACTTATTTAGCACCTGCGAGGCGCCGGACGCCGGGGGCCCCCAAACAAAAGGAACCGGTCCTGCCCTCAGGGAGCTTCCAGCCGGCCCCCGGCTCCCGCCCTCGGGCTCTGGTCCCCGCAGCCCCCGGTCTCCTCAGCCTCCGGGGGCGCCTCGGGTCCCCCCCGGCCTTCCTCGGCTTCCCGCCCGGCCCCCTCAGGGCCCGCGGCCGCGGCCGGGCCGCTCACCCTCATAGAGGTGCTTGTCTGACTTGTGCTTCTTGTGCTTCTTGCCCATGTCGGCCCGGGCCCCGGTGCCCGCCCCCCGCGCCAGGCCCAGGCCGCACCGCTTCCGGCCCGGGGAGCGAAGCCCCGGAGCCGGAGGTAACGAGGGAGGGACGGAGGGAGAACGAGCGAAACAGCGAGCGAAGGCGAGGCCAGAAACCCGGAGGAGCCGGCGAGACGACGAGCGGGGAGAGCCGGCGAGCTGGGCCAGAGAGGGAGGGCCCGGCCAGAGCGCTGGGATTCGGGGCGCCGCGTCACATCGCCCTCTGGCGGCCGGAGGTCGCACTGCAGCCTGCAGTCCTCACATCAGACAAGCGGTAGCGGTTGGATTTGTACGGGCAGAGAAACGCGAGGAGGATGCTTCCTTGGAAGGGGCAACCCCAGCCGGCAGCAAAACTGAGGGGACTAGAGAGGGATGGAAATGGAAATGAGAGACTGAGAGAAAAGGGTCGGGGACGGAGAGGGACACAGACAGGGATTGTTTTCTTTGTAGCTTGGGCAAGTCGTTTAACTTTGGGTGGCTTCAGTTTCCTCTTCTAAAAATGAAGGTGAATTAGATTATTTCCAAGGTAACTTGCAGCTCTGAACAGATAACAGGCAATTTGGCATAATGGCAAGAAAGTTGCCAAGAAGTCAGGAAAACCCAGGCTCACACCTTGTCCCTGATGTATACTGACTGTGTAACCCTGGGCTAGTCACTTGACCTCTAGTGCCCCAGGCCACTCTCTAAGACTAAAAGTTTCAGGACGGTTGCATGTCTGCATTGGTAGAAGGAGCTGCCTCAGTGGGAATTCCTTATACAGACGGTATCATTCATTTATTAAGCACTTACTGTATGTGCCAGGCACTGTGCTAAGCACTGGAGATTCAAGGAAAGCAAAAGACAGACTCTTCTCTCAGGGATCCCACAGCATAATGGTAGAGACAACATGACAACTATTATGTACAGACAAGATAAGGACAAGACCAGATAAACTGGAGGTAACCAACAGAGGGAAGAATTAAGATCTGGACCAAAACAAACAAATGAAATCCTTTAAGGAAGAGGAAATAAGACCTGGAAAATAATTATTCTGTTTCTAGGTACCATTTCCTCATGTGATTTGTGTCAGTCAAATCAACTTGGTTTCTGGAGATTATCATCATCAGCTCATAGACTATTAAATCTGCAAGGGGGACTTAGAGATCTCCTTATTTTATAGATGAGGGCACTGAGGCCCAGGGAAGGGAAATACTTTTCTGAGCTACTTGGGGTCAGGGCTTGGCCAGAATCCAGGTATCCTGAATGCTTCATGTGTGCTCCCATCATTTGAACCCAACACTGACTCTGTGAGGAAGGCAAGGCACTTTATTAATCATATTTCTGTACAATTTCTGCACAATTCAGACTAAGCTCTTTATGATACTTGCCTATTTTATCTCTAAGTCTCCCTATTCCATCTTGGCTTTGAAGATGGGGGAACCAATGCCAGAGAAGGGAAGAGATTTGCTCAGGTTCATACAGTAAAATAGGCAGCTAGGTGGCATAGTGGATAGAGTGCTGGATTTGGAGTCAGGAAGACCTGGGTTCAAATTCTGCCTCAGATACTTATTAGCTGTGTGATACTGGGCATGGCATTTAGATTCACTTTCCTCATCTGCAAAAAGGAATAATAATAATCCCTACTTCACAGGAAGAAATGAAATGGCATATGTAAAGGACTTTGCAAACTTTAAAGTACGTTATAAGTGCTTGCTATTAGAGGTGGAGTTAATATTTGAACTCAGCTCTCCTGACACTCAGACCAGTCCCTTTTCTACTTAGACCCACAACCTATAAAATGCCCTGATTTTTACCTTCCCATATTCATGTTGTTTTGCTTATTATTGATAATACTGCTTCTCTTTCTGCTCCCACTGATTAATTACATGTATGTGGCATTTCTCAGTCCAGCTTATATCCATTATCTCATCTGATCTTCACAACAACCCCATGGAGTAGGCAAGGCAGGAATTATTACTCTCATTTTTCAGCTAAGGAAGCTCAGACATAGACAAGTGAAATGACTTGTGTGAGATTACATAGTAAGTTAATGGTGATGTTGTCATTAGTGTCCAGTGTGGCCAAATTGTGGTTTTAGTGGTTTTAGTTTTTTTGATCTTTAGGTTTCAGAGAGACTCACTGTGGGCCTGGGGTCTGTTGAGCTAGCTTTAAGCAGTTGTCACCAATGTTACCACCCTGTCCTTGGCTCTGGTAAAAGAGGATGCAGGAGAAGATTGTTATGGGGTAGCATGTCCTTCAGCTATGTTTCCATAGCAACCTAGAGATGTAACCCACGAGGAACATTTGGGTTCAGGAAAAGGGGCCTCTGTTTGTTGGCTTTTATAGAAAAGAAGGGAAAAATTCAGATGAAATCTTGTTGTTGTTTTTTTCTTCTTTATTAATTACTCATTGAAGAAATACATGGGGGGAAAATATTTCCCAGAAGGTTTATATTTGGTGATGAGTATTTCTCAGGCATATGTACATGTTTCTTGGGATTCCATGGGTAAGGAGGAGAAGATTGTGGGTAGTTGGTCAGCCCCAGGCAGTTGCAAACCAGAACCTGGGTGTGGGAGGGCAGGGAAGTTACTAGGTGAAGAGCAGGTTGGGGATGGTCATTCCAAAGGAGGGGACAGATACTCCCAAGAGAGCAATATAAGGTAGATTTTATCAGGCTCCAATAATTGTCTTTCTGTACTTTGCCACACAACACTGAAATGAGTTCCAGTCACATACCAAGATATTTTACTGGGACCAAAGTTATCTGCAAACCTGGGTTAGGCCATCCTTTTTGATTTGTGGAGAAGATCCAAAGCCATAATTGCTCTTAACACCTCTTAAGGGAGTAGTCCAATAGCATGAGAGGATACCGGAGTCTGGAATGGCCCCAGTTTATAACTATAAAGTTGTCAAGTTTGTCCTTGGCATTTATCCCAGAGAGGTAACCTTCCCCCTCCCCCATGCTTCAGGACTGTCATGATATCAAGGAACTTCCTGGTGTGAATGTAAATGATTTCATTAATTTACACTGAAGGTTTAAGGACTTAAAGTATCACCTTTCCTAGGGGTACTTGTATTTCATAGGATCATAGACCCAGAGTTGTAAGGGACCTTAGAAATCAACTAGTCCAGCACTCTGATTTTACAAATGAGGCCCCAGAGAGGTTAAGCAATTTGCTCAAGGTCATCAAGGACCGCCGGTCTTGTGGCTTCAAGAAAGACTTTAGCACTCTTTCTACTGTACCACACTGCCTCCTCAGGAGGGCAATGCCAAAAGAATGGTTTTGAATATCAGAACCTCAGGTACTATGATACCTGGAATGGAGGAGAGGGGTAGAATATAAGGAGTCAAGAATAATCCTCCCAGAACTCCTCAAATGCCATGTTTGGTGGCTGTCTAATATGCGTATTATCCTAGATGTGGAGATAATTAATTTTGGGGGGGTGGGCTTGGCTAATGGCTTTTCCCCCTCAAATTCAATTTTATTTTATTTTCAGTTCCAAATTCTCTCCCTTTCCCTCTCCCACCCCAGCCATTGAGAAGGCGGGAAAAACAAAGCTCGTTACAGTTATATATAGGTATGTAAACCAAATTCCCTTTATTAACCCTGTTGAAAGAAAGATAGAAAGAAGGAGAGAAGAAAAGAGGGAGAGAAGGATGGGAAAGAAGGAAGAAAGGGAAAAGGAAGAAAGGAGGGGAGTAAGTAGAAAAGGCAGAAAATATAGTTCGATCTACACACTGAGTATATCACTTCTCTTTGGAAGTAGATAATGTGTTTCATCATGAGTCTTTTGGAGCTGTGTTAGGTCCTTGCGCTGATCAGTTACTAAGTCTTTCAGGGTAGATTGTCCTTAAGATATTGTTATTGTACAAATTGTTCTTTTGGTTCTGCTTACTCTACTCTGTGTCTATTTATACAAGTCTTCTCAGGTTTTTCTGAAACTATCACCTTTATAATTTCTTTTAGCACAACAATATTCCATCATTCATATGCCACAACTTGGTCAACCATTCATGTGGGGATAATTGAGGGAGAATTATTGTGTGAAGCCTCTTCTAGTGTTCATAACAGGGAAAGTTACAATGCATCCTCCACACAGCTGCTAAAGTGATATTCATAAAGCACAGATCTGATCATGTCCCTCTTCCTATTCAATAAACTCCAGTGGCTCCCTAATGCCTCAAGAATAAAATAGAAATTCCTCTGTTTGGCATTTAAAGCCCTTCATAATCTGTCTCCAACCTACCATTCCAAGTTTATTGTATATTACTTTCTTTCATGCTCTCTACCTTCCAGCCAACCTGGCCTACTTTCTGTTCTTCATATAAAGGGACACACTGAAAATTATTTAACAATTGGCATTCTGGGAAAAAAAGTGCACAATATACTATTAAGTTTAATCTGAACCATTAACATTTCCTCCATCACTTCCTTAAGTCTGGGCAATCAACAAGATAATAAATCAAGTCCTGATTTCTGAAATATAAATGCTTGCACTGAAAATGTAATACTCAACTATAACCAGGCTCCAGCACACCACTGTAAGAAAATTCATCTCCCTGTTGTGTTCCTGTACAGATTATCACCTATGTCTGGAATGCACTCCTTCCTCACTTCTACCTCTTAGAATTCCTAGATTCCTTCAAAGTTTAGCTGAAGTACTACCTCTTCCATGAGACCTTTATTAATCCCCTAGCTACTAGTATCTCATACAAAAAACAAAAAAGTCTTATATTTATTTTGTATATACTTAAATATGTATATGTTATCTCTCTAGATTGCGTATAAGTTCCTTGGGGCAAGGATGATTTCATTAGACCATTGTATCTTAGTGCCTAGTCCAATAATAAATGTTTGTTGCTTGCTGAGTTGATGAGAGTAGGGGTTTTTAGCTGTTTTTGTGTGTCAGAGGTCTCTTATGGTGGTCTGGTAAAGCCTATGGACCCTTCCTCTGAATAATGTTTTTGAAAGCATAAGATAAAATACATAAGATTACAAAGGAAACCAATTATACTGAAATGCAGTTATCAAAATATTTTAAAATATT